TCGCAACAACATGGATGAAGCTAGAGGGTATTATGCTCAGTGAAATAAGCCAGGTGGAGAAAGACAAGTACCAAATGATTTCACTCATCTGTGGAACATAAGAACAAAGCCAAAACTAAAGGAACAAAAAAGCAGCAGACTCACAGAACTCAAGAATGGACTAACAGTTGCCAAAGGGAACGGGACTTGGGCTGGGGGATGGGTGGGAAGGGAGGGAGAAGGGGAATAAGGGGTATTATGATTAGCACACAATGTAGCAGGAGGTGGGCACAGGGAATGCAGTATAGCACAGAGAAGACAAGTAGTGACTCTAGCATCTTACTACACTGATGGACAGTGACTATAATGGGGTCTGTCGTAGGGACTTGATAATGGGGGGAATCTAGTAACCATAATATTGCTTATATAATTATATATTAATGATACCAAAAAAAAAAGAATAGTAAGGAGGCTACTGTGGATCAGACAACATGAATGGTGAGGAATGTGATAGAGGAAGATGTTATGTATTACACATAATGCAGGTTAATACTGAACATATGAAGACTGACTTTTTACTTTGGTGAGTTTTTGTAGTTTTTGGTAGAGGAGGACAAGATCACTCATTTGTTTTCAGTAGATCCTTCTGGCTGCTTTGTTGAAAATAAATGCGAAAGACTAAGTAGAAGTCTGATGAAGTGATGCAAATGAGATGATGTGGCTTGTACTGAGGTGGTAAGAAGTGATTAGATTCTGAATAGATTTTAGAGATAAAGTTGCCAGTTGAATGTGGAAGTTTCAGAGGGACAGGAATCAAGCGTTTTGGCCTGAGCAGTTAGAAAAATGGAGTTCCCTACTTGGGAGGGGGAAGTCTACAGGAAAATCTGGTTTGGGGAGGAATACCAGGAGCCTAATTTTGGATATTTTAGATATGAGATGCCTAGAGGAATGTTCAAGTAGGCCCTTGAAAATTCAGAGTTGTACTTAAAAGAGAGCAGGCTAAAAATACAAGTTTGACAATTATTGGTACATGAGGTTTTACAAGCTAGGAGAGGTGATGAGATTACCTGGGGGATGAGTTTAGATAAAACAGAGAAGTGAGTTCAGGAATTGAACCTGACGGCAAGCCAACATTTGAGTTAGAAAGACAAGCTAAAGCATCAGCAGAACACCAGGGAAGAGTGGTGTTCTAAAGAGTGTGTCAGGAATACAAGCATCTACTGTGTCAAATGTTAAAGAAGGCTTTTGTAAGATGAGGATGGAGAAATAAAGTCATTGGCTTTATCAGCATGGAAATGCTGATTTCTCTAGAAAAGAGAAGTGGTGGGAACTAAAACTTGACTAGACTGGAACTGGAAAAATTGAAAATTGGGGGTATACATATCTTTCAAGAAATTTTCCATGAAGGAGAGAGAAATGGGACAGTTTAGAAAGTAGTGATGTTGGGGCGGTTTTTGGTTTTTCTTTCCTTTTTGTTAACATGGGAGAAAGAATCACATTTTTACGGTGATAATCCAGTAGGAAAAATTGATGTATGAATGATGGGATAATTGTTAGAGAGACAGACTATCTATGGAATTTAGTGTGAATGTAGAGACTTAATGTCGTGTGCTAGCATGGATAGATTATCAGTGATAATGAGCAAATGTAAAATGTATGGGCAAAAGGTAGGTAAGATGTAGGATGTGATGTAGGAACTTGTGAAGTTTTCTTCTGGTTGCTTCAATTTTTTCAGTGAAATCAAACAAGATTATTATCTGCGAGTGGCAGTGGGGTAGAGGATGATTTGAAACAAGAGGAGTAAGCATGAAATAGTGTTCTGAAAGGATGGGAGGAGTGAACTAAGAAAATACATTATTAATACTAGGATTCATTTTTAAGAGTCCAGCCAGCTGAAGTTAGTGATTGTTAATTTAAATAAATGTCACTGTTTTATTTTTCTTCAGCCATGTTTATCACCCTAGACACAGACACAGTTGTCAGTATGTCGACTCAATGTGGTTTCACCAGGCAGCTATGCTACCTACTAAGGAGAGGGTGGGGGGGGGAGGGGTTGGCAAAAGCAAGATAAAGTCTTTAATGATTGGAAATTAGACTTTGTAAAGAGGAAAGGGAGGACATTAGGGAGTGAGGTACAATGAAAACTTGGTAAGATTAATGGATTGTCCTGACAAGAAGGAAGATAATACTGAATTTGGGTTACTTCATAAAATAAGTAAGCTAGAAAGAATAAAGTGTGTTGTTTGAAACTGAGCTAGTTTGGGACATTTAGGTTTTTTCATTATTAAAAAAAATGCTTATCATTATCATCTTTCTATATAAAAGTTCTCTGACACCTTGTATTTCCATAGCCAGCGGTAAAAAGAATTACTGGATTAAAGGATATTAGTATTTTTAAAATTTCTACTATGTAATAAGTAAATTTTCTAACAAATATTTCTAGGGTATAATCTTAGTGAGTTTCCATTTCCATAATACTTTGCCCCCATTAGGCATTTCATTCTTATTCTTAGTCTAATTTACTGTTTTATAATTTGGTAGGTCAAAAGAGTGTCTTTTTTTTAACTGTATGAACGTATTGGTCTTTCTCTTTGTGGTTTTCACTTTAAAGATCAGCAAGCACTCTTAATTACTGTTTCAGGAAATTAAAAGGAGAGATACTCAAAAATTAAAGAGAAGTCAGTCATGTTACAGATTTTAGTCATTAACCTTCCTATGCATCAGCAATAAACATCTCAAAAATATCTTAGGAAAAGAAATTTCATTTACAATAAAAAAGCGTATCTAGGGATAATCTAGGTGAAAGGATAGACACTAGCAAAAATAAAAAGTGGAAAACCTTGCATAATTGCATTTTTTAAAAAGTGAAGCAAGGGGAGAGACAAAAATAACACGATGTTGTGTAAAGTTAATGAATTTCCCCACAAAATACACATTAAGAAATCCAGTGAAATTTAATTCCTTGTGATATTCCAGAGCAATAAAAAAATCTAAAGAATAATTGTAAAAAATAGACAAAAGTAATAAAGTAATATTTGTGTCTAACTTCAAAAACGTGAGAAATACTTATTCAAGTATTTTATATTCTAATTTAATTCTTCTGTTACCATTGGTTTTTTTATTTCTCTAATTTTCTGGATGATGACATTGATTCCAAGACATTGAGTAGCATATTAATTGAATAAATAAATTGTAGAGTGAGGATTTGAACCTAAACCAGCCTAACTTCAGAACCCAGTCTCTTAATTAATTGAAGGCACTAGTAGTTAAAGTTTGGGGAGGATAAACAAAACAATATAAAAATGGGGGAGATTAGCTCTAGCAGATATTAAGAGGGATTGCAAAGGTAAAATTACCAAAATGCTGTGATAACTAGTCCAAGAAAGATAGAAACACTTGTAATTTAATTGGTAACTCTGAAATAGTCTTTAATAACTATCAAAGTGCATTATGTTTATCAGTTCATGATGAAGTGGATATCACACAAATGAGGCATTGATGATTTATTTAAAAAACAGTATTAAGTTATTTGGAAAGATGTTTGGGGAAAAAATCCATTTAGATGTTATAACAAAATTTCAGAACATTTAAAGGGGATGGGGAGGTAAATCTAGGTGAATGTTTTTATTTCCAAATTTTATTGCTTCAGCATTATTTCTATTGAAACAACTTTATTCACTCAATTGTTTGATTGAACTTAACTTTCTAAATAAGTCTTTTAGGATAAATATAATGTTCTGTTTTTTGTTTATGGCATTTTTCTTTTTTGGTTTTTTTTTGATATGTTGACAACATATTGAGAATCACATTTGTTTCCTTGGCTTTCCAGACTTTAACAGAATTTAACAATTGCTTATTAGTTTTATAGACCTCTATGCTACAGGTAATATAAATAACTGAGATAGGAGAAATATTTTGTTCTCCTCAAGCTATTTTGTAGTTGAAACCATATAAGAAATAATATCCATTTCAAATCATCTATGTTCTAGTGAATAGAACAAGAAAATCTAATTTACAAAGAGGAAGGTAGGGTTGGGAGAAGTCTGGTTGAGCTCTGGAGCAAATTGGCACTAAAATGTAGGAGGGGGTTTGAAATCATAGTGATAGCAAAATGTAGGGATAACATTTAAAATGAAGGGATAACTTACAGTGGGATTAAGATGAAATTATGTTGGTGGAATATAAAAAAGGAGTTTTTTTAATGTAGCATGTTTTAGATTTAATACTAGCAATAATTTGATAGGGTTTTGGGAGTTGGGTGTTGAACAGTAAAGTGAATTTTTTTTTTAAATCTTGAACTATGAAAAAATGCTAGTAATTGAAGCTTTTAATTTTCTTAACTTTGAAACAACTCCTGATAAACAATTCAGTATTCATGCAATGGAAACAACTCATTTTTTATTTTCAGAATGTAAGGAATTTTGCAACTTGTGATTTACAACACGTTGTTAAATGGAAGCTGGTGTAGTTCTAAAGTGACAATTTGATATTCTATGAACATGCATTTTTCAGATTTCTTATTCATTTTATATCTTCAAAATGTAAGGAATTTTGCAACTTGTGATTTACAACACATTGTTAAATGGAAGCTGGTCTAGTTCTAAAGTGACAATTTGATATTCTATGAACATGCATTTTTCAGATTTCTTATTTGTTGAACATTTGAAAATTATTTGTGTAGATAGTCTTTGTAGGAGATAAATGAGTTAGAATCTTTTCTATCTAGTGGGGATGTTGAGATACAAGAAAATACTGGTTATAAGTTATGGTAAATACAGAAAAGGGGATATTTGTGTATGCTAGCTTATACTTAAAATTCAGTTACAACTGAATTGTTAAATGTGGTCATTTCCTTTGCCATATATTTCTTACTCTGATTTTGACAAATGATAATGTACTTGTTCTTTGGACTGTTTCCCTATTTATAAATTTTAAGGTACATTTTAAGGACTGAGATTTAGGTATCTTTTTTCCTCTCAGGAATGCTTGCAAACCTTTTTTTTCTTTCCTTCTTTTTGCAGAGGTTGCGCACAGAAAATAGACTTTTAAAACAGCGCATTGACACATTGGAAAAAGTAAGTAAATGACTACTTTTGCAAACTTCTGATGAATGCACAGTATTTTTTCTACTTTAAATAAAGGCTTAAGAAATCTAGCACATCTCTGAAGTTGTGATATATTGACTGCTTGGCTTGCCTATAGCTTACTGCTTAACTAACTTGTTATTTATAAAAATTGAACCTTAAGGTTAAAGTTTTAATTAAGGTTTTATTATAGTAGCATATAGGTGTCATTTGTTTTCTTTACATGTAATCTCTAAAACCTATGTTCTTTAGAGGTAACCTAATTAGGAAACCAGTCTGTGTAGTATTTTAAAGATGACTTTCAAATGTTGCCCTGACTTCTAGCCACATACTGAATGTGGCAATGATTTATTTAAGACCTAGGGTTGTTTTAAGTTTAGTCAAAATGACTGAGTGATTTCTTATATTAAAAATTCACCATAGTGTTGATTCTTAGCACTAGGGTAATTGTACCTAAACTTAGGTTCTTAGAATTATTTTGATACCATTTGTTACATCTTTCTTCTTCTCCGTTTCATATAAAAAAAACTGGAGAAATATGGAAGTTTTGCATTATTTTTCATGTTGGGCTTTTGATATTTCTTTCATAGTTTTATTTCTGATGCTATAAGAAGATACTGAATAGTCTTAAGAATTTTGATTTATTAAAAGAAAAATATCTGAATTCATGAACTCTTTTTGTGTTTTTTTGTTTGTTCCTTAGTTTTTCTTTTACCAAAGATAAGAGTAAGTAGGTTTCAAAGTACTCCTCATGGTATTGTCCAGTATCTTTAAATCTTCCCTGAAAATCTGCAGATTGATAGTCAAGAAAGACATGAAGATATGGATAGTTTGCATATTTGTCTTTTGTTTGAAAGTATTGGTGATTTCATATAAATAGCACAGAAGGACATCCATTTTTGTTATGTGATCATTGCAGATATATTAAGTCAAAAGTAGTTTTCCTATTTTTCCTTCATCTTATTAGTTGTTTTGAGGAGAATTCTACTTTTATGGTGACTGGTGAGCTTGTTTTTAAGTCATTTTAATTACATACTTTTTTTAATGAAATACTCAGCTTGCAGTAAAATATACATCTTCTCTTAGGTGGTCTTTTATCTTTGGAGACTTTTACAGAGAAAGTGTTTTTATATCTTTGAACCTTCAGAGTGATAAAGGTGATGTTGCAAAGTGTTAAGTTTGGATTTTGCTTCTAGATAATTAAGTACTTTTTTCTGGCTTAAATGGCCTAGGTGTATACTTTAGCACTTAGAATTCTGTAACTACTTATATATCAATTAAATTCTGTAACCAAAATGTTAACCTAGTCAGTGATTGCTGGAGTTTATTATGGTGATCTCACTAATTTCATTTATTGTATTTTCTTTGTTTCTTTGGAAGTTGCTGTTGCACAAATTGCTATCATACTTTATGAGTGGAATTGCTTACTCAAATTCCTTCTCCCTTTCATATACATGGCTTGACAATATGGCTGACTCTACAAATAAAGTCTTAAAAGTGTGCTTTGAAAAGAAGATACTTGCTTTTCCCAAAGAATGGAAAACCTCTCGGAATTGGTGTTTGGTCTCTTCTAGAAGTGTGATTTTCTGCAGTCTATCCTTATCTTGATGTACTTTTCTTAAGGTTTAAGAGTAAAAGCACATTCAGTAAAACATAGTTTTAAAATTAAAATGTTCATTTGAATTACAATGAAAAGTAGGTGGAATTTGGGTATGCTTTGTTTCTTCTTTTTCCTAATTTTATCATCTTTATTTTATTTCTCTTTCTTATATTTCTATCTGAATTTTTCCTTTTGTAGGAAAGTGCTTCCTTGGCAGATAGATTGATACAGGTATAGTTTTTCTCTTTTAGCATTTTCTCTAACTTTACTTCTAAGGAAAGTCCTAAAACTAGAAATTCATATTTTAATGCATGCAATTTTACATGCATTTTCCTAGAAATAATTTTTTGGGTGGTATACTTGGGTATAAACTTAATTTTTTATAACAGTGTGTTATCTTGGTTTATTAATATAAACACTTTTTGCACGTTTTAAAACTAACCTCATTTTAAAGTATTTATTCCAAATGGCAATCAGTGGCATTTTGCAAAATAAACTATTTTTTATTGAAAATTTTAGTCCTGCATGTACAACTCAATAATATTGCATGAATTGAATTTTTGTTGACTGAAAGAAGAATTGTCCTTAAGATTGTCAGATGACTTTTTCATTTAGTTTCCCAAATTTTGCTGGAGCAATAATGAGCTGCTGGCTAATAATAACTTAGGCTCTTCTGTTCTCTGAGGTGATTTTTTTTTAACATGTCAAATAACTAAACCTCACAAAGGCAGTCTTTCTTGAATCTGTCCTAAGTTGCTTTATACACAAAAAAATTATGTCCTAAGGGACAAGTGACAAGAGCCCAGGAGGCTGAGGAAAACTACCTCATAAAACGGGAGTTGGCCACCATCAGACAACAGAGTGATGAGGCCAGTGCTAAACTGGAGCAAGCTGAAAATACCATCAGGAAGCTCCAGCACCAGCAACAATGGGTAAGGAGTCTGGTAGTGCTTCTTGTCATCTTTCTCATCCCCTTCCCTTTAAACATTTTTTTTTTTTTAAGCACTGCTGTGCTCTTAAGCAATTTAGTTTCCTACTTTAATTGAATTCTTAATCAGCTTTATGTTCTGTAATACTTAAGGGTTTTACTGTGGCCTAGACTCCTCATTCTAATATTTTTTTTGCTGTCTACACAGTTTTGTTAGAAATAGTTAATATTTTCCTTCCTTACAATACGTTTTAAGTAACAGAAAATAAATGATGCATGTCAGACCTGCTTTTTAGGTTTTAGAAGTCTGTTTTATAATAGGGATTTTGCCATGGGTAATTTTAAAACTTAATTTCAGCTAATTTTTGTTAATTATGCAGGTGAAGTATTACCCAGCATGTAGAATATATGTCATTATCTCATTAAAAGCTTTGATAATGTGATTTATATCTTATAAAATACTATAGCCTTAATTTCATATAAGATGTTAAATTAAGCAAAGTACATGCTTATAATTTTTCAAGAGGAGAGATGTCAAAATGAAAAATTGAACTTTAAAAAAATTGTGTTAACTATTACTAAACAGCTGCTGATTATATAACTATCCTCAGGTATCTTTTGCAACTTAGACATCATTTTCCACAGGCAAATTCAGACTTCTATATGGTCTTTGTCAAGAATATGAGGGTGAAAAAGAAAGGCCAACTATCTTTGAAAAGATACTATTTCTTGTTTCAGTTTTCTGTTCTCAAGTAGCAGTTGGATTGTAACAGGAGCAGGCAGAAAAAATTGTGTTAATCCTGAAACTCTATTACTGATTTAGAAAGCAAATAGAATGACTTCAAAGTTGGACATTACTTTTATTTAGTAAAGTTAAGAAACAGCATCACCATCTGGGAACAAAAACCAGAAAACTGAAAGCAAAAAGAAGAAATTGGTAACTGAAAAAAAACCATAACGTAAATTAAATTTTCTGTTGTGTAACTGAAGATGGTTAACATAAATGAAGAGCTGTAAAAGAGTACTAAGAAGTTAGGAATTCAGATGTTTTGTCTTGTTTTTGTGTGAAATGTCAATAATATTAAGACTTTAAAAATGGAAAAAACAAAACAGCCTTAAACTAGAAAAAGCAGAACTGGGAGAATTAAGCTGAACTGAGTTATCAGTGTACTTGATGCTCTTACATGGAAAGATAATAAGAATTACATTTGTATCAAGCATAAGCTACAGTCAGAATACATTAGAATCACCTCACACCAGTAAGGATCACCACCATCCAAAAGACAAACAAAAACAAATGTTGGCGAGGTTGTGGAGAAACAGGAACCCTCCTACACTGCTGGTGGGAATGTAAAGTAGTTCAACCATTGTGGAAAGCAGTATGGAGATTCCTCAAAAAACTCAATAGAAATACCATTTGACCCAGGAATTCCACCTCTAAGAATTCTAAGTTCTGCATTTCTAAGAATGTAGGAGCCCAGTTTGAAAAAGACAGATGCACCCCTATGTTTATCGCAGCACTATTTACAACAGCCAAGAAATGGGAGCAACTTAAGTGTCCATCAGTAGATGAATGGATAAAGAAGATGTAGTACATATACACAATGGAATATTATTCAGCCATAAGAAGAAAACAAATCCTACCATTTGCGGTGGCATGGGTGGGGCTGGGGGGTATTGTGCTCAGTGAGGTGGGCCAAGCAGAGAGGGACAGGTGCCGAATGATTTCACTCATATGTGGGGTATAAGAACAAAGCAAAAACTGAAGGAACAAAATAGCAGCAGACTCACAGAACCCAAGAATGGACTAACAGTTACCAAAGGGAAAGGGGTTGGGGAGGATAGGTGGGAAGGGAAGGATAAGGGGTGTGGGGGGAGAAAGGGTGTATTATGATTAGCATGTATAATGGGGGGGGCATGGGGAGGGCTGTGCAACACAGAGAAGACAAGTAGTGAGTCTGTAGCATCTTACTGCGCTGATGGACAGTGACTGTAATGGGGTCTGTGGGGGGGGACTTGGTGATGGGGGAAGTCTAGTAAACAATGTTCCTCATGTAAATGTAGATTAATGATACCAAAATTTAAAAAACGCTTAAAAATATATTAGAATCATGAATTATTAGTTTTTTGAATAGTTTTTCAAATATTGAGACCTATATGCAGATTTGTGTTAAAAAAATGTTGATTTGTAATGAAAAATTTAAGTGGGCAAGCAGAAATGGCCAGAATGAACTAAATTTTTTAAAAATTCTGAAGTATAACCAAAAGAATCTTTTCCTGTTACAAAATAGACCCAAAATGTGGGTGGGGCTAAGACATAACAAGTAGAAAGAGCTCTCCTTTGGTTTTGTTTCCATTTTTTTTCTCACTAAGCCAATGAATATTCTTCTAAACTATAATAAAATGTAAAACAGACGTATAAAGCACAAAATAGGTGAAAGTAACAAATCCTTGGTTAAATTACCTATTTCAAAGGAAAGTGTATATCCCTGTATGTTAAAATAGTTTGCAAAATGATCATAGGAATATTACTGTCTTTAAAGGATATTAGAAAATAAGAGATACTGAAGGCTTTGAGATGGGCAAATTATAGTTCTTCCATAAAATAATAATGTTTAGATAGCTGAAAAGAACTAATGAGCTTGATGATGCTTGATTAAAAATTATTAGAGCATCTGGCTTATGAATAATTAGGAAAATAAAACTTATACAGACTAAAAGTTAAACTATTGTGTATAAGTCATAACTAACTTTGTTTCTGTAAAACAAAAACTGCCGTTAAGTACATTTTTACAAGTTATTTGGTAGGGTCTCATATCTTCTTTTTTTTTATTGAAGCATATATACACCTTTTTTTGAAAATTATCATTGTTATACAATCTTATACTGGTTTCAAGTATACAACACAGGGGTTCAACAGTTACCCATATTATTAAATCCTCACCCCCTCTAGTGCAGTTACTATCTGTCAACCTAGGAAGATATCATTGTCTATATTCTCCATACTGTACTACCATTTCCATGACCAACTTATTTTATGATTGACAATTTTTCTGCCCTTTATCCCCCTCATATTCCCCACATACCCACCCCAATCCCTCCCCCATGGTAACCGTCACTTCTCAGTATCTGTGACTCTACTGCTGTTTTGTTCATTTTGTTTGTGTTTTTAGATTCCATAAACAAGTGAAATCATATGGTATTTTGAGCATAATACCCTCTAGATCTATCCATGTTGTTTCAAATGGCAGGATTTCTTTATTTTTTATGGTGGAATAGTATTCCATTGTGTATATGTACCTCATTTTCTTTATTCATCTATTGATAGATACTTAGGTTGCTTCCATAGTTTGACTTTTGTAAATAATGCAAAAATAAACATAGGTGTGCATATATCTTTTCAAATCAGGGATTTTGTTTTTTTGGGTAAATTCTAGAAGTGGAATTATTGGGTTGTATGGTATTTCTAGTTTCAGTTTTTTGAGGAAATTAGAACATGGGCAATTAGAACACATTTTGAATTAAATGAAAATGTAGACAATATTATCAAAATTTGTGGACTCCACCTAAAACAGTGAAACCACGTAGTAGAAAATTCATAGCATTAAATGCTTATATCAGGAAAAGAAGGAAGTCTCAAACTAGTAAGCTTCTACCTTGAGAAACCAGACATATAAGAGGAAATCCAATCTAAAGCAAGTAGAAGAATAGAAGGAACAAGTAATAAAAAGAATAGAGATCAATGAAATTGAAAGTAGTACAAAACAAAAATAGAAAAAATCCACGAAAACAAATGCTGGTTCTTTGAAGTCATCAATTAAATTGATAAACCTCTGTCCAGACCAACTGAAGAGAAAAGAAACAGTAACAAACATCAGGATGACATTGACTTTTCACAGATGTAGACAAATTGTTTTGTCTTATATTCTGGATTTGTAAGATTTCTTGCACATGGTGTCATAGTTCCTGTAAGCTAGAGTCAGTTAAACCTTTTTAACATTTAGATGATGATGTTGTGAGCTCTGTTTTATAAATCAGGAAGTATGTAGGTTGTTCCCACTATTGATGATGCCGAGTTTGGTTACCATGGTCTCTCTCCCTTGTAAAGGTATGGTTTTTTCTTTGCAACTATTAAATAATCAGTTGAAAAATACTTTTGTACCAAATAAATTTCTTGTCCTGTATTCACCTAATGGTTTTAGAATGGGCTTCCAAAATGGTGACTTTCATATTTTCTCATTTTTTCTATGCATATTAGCTAAAGCTACTCCTTAAAGAGACCTTTCTCTTTTTCCCCCTCTCATCTCTCTCTTAGTCACTCAGTATGGATTCTTTTGTATCAATCCTGATTCATGGACTTTGTTTACTTAATGTTTTATATCATTTTTAATGGTTTTAATGCTATTGATACATTGATACTCTATAGTTATTTCACAACACTATAGTAAACTTTTGAGCAGCTGTTTTTAAAAGTTATATTTTATTTTTAATTAATTTTGAGTATTGATGTTCTTTAAAAAGCATTTCTGCAGTACACTTTTATTGACTATCTTTAACCAATCACTGGTTCCATTGATAGACCCTTAATAGGTTGAACCTGATATTTTTGGTCTTCAAAAATGATTGAGTTAATTTATTATTGAACTTAGTATTTAGTACACTAAATAAAATTTAATATTTACTTAGTATTTAGTAATTTAAAATTAGATAATATTCAATTAACCTAAGGTAAAACCAAGTACTAAGATTAGTGCTATCCCTTTACATACTTGTTTTTCCATGTCAGTTTTGTTAAGCCCATAGAAGTAAAAATGATTCACTGATGTTTCATATAACTCATGTCTGACTCTTCCCCTTGTGAGTATGGAGGGGTACAAATATGTTAATTCTGGAATATTTTTCCTGATGAGACCAACTGTCTTTGAGTCATGCTTGATCTATTTGAAAGCTTTTTGCCCCTACACATCACTTCTTAACCATTAAGGTATCTTGAATAAAAGTTAA